GCCCTGGGGAACTCCACCGCTCACATCCCTCCAGGTCAAAAATGACCTGTCCACCACCACTCTCTGGGTGCGACCCTCCAGCTAATTAGTGGCGCATTTGACCGTGTAGGCATCGACACCACAGTCACCTAACTTTTTAATGAGAATGGGGTGAGAGACAGTGTCAAAGGCCTTCCTAAAGTCCAGAAAGACTACGTCTACCATGACACCTGCATCTAAGGCTTTTGTGACCTGGTTGTAGAAGGCCACCAGGTTGGTCTGACAGCACCTGCCTCTAATGAACCCGTGTTGATTGCCCCTAAGCATACACTCCCCTGCTGGTCCCTCGCAGATGTGCTCCTGGATAATTTTCTCAAAGAGCTTCCCCAGGACCAAGGTAAGACTAATGGGCCTATTGTTTCCTGGGTCCTCCTTCCTACCTTTTTTGAAAATGGGGACCATATTGGCCATTTTCCAGTCTTCTGACACCTTGCCAGAGCACCATGAATGCTCATAAAGCCATGCCAGGGGTCCCGCAATGACCTCTGCTAATTCCTTCAGCACTTGGGTGGAGATTCTCAGGACCTTCTGATTTGAACACGTCTAATCCCACCAGAAGTTCCCTGACTAGGTCCTCTCTGACCCTGGACCTGGCTGTGCCTCCCCTGGTACCATCGGGGATCCCGGTGGGAGGGATGACCTGGTCCCTGCTCAGAAAAATGGAGGCAAAGAAATTGCTAAAGAGATTATCTTTGTCTTCTGGTGCGACCACCAGATTTCCTAGCGTGTCCTGCAGAAGCCCCACGTTACCCCGTACCTTCTTTTTACCCCCTATGTATTTAAAAAAGGACTTCTTATTCTTGATCCGGGTTGCTAGTCCCAGTTCCATCTCCGCCTTAGCCTTCCTAACAGCCCCCCTACAATCTCAAGCCAAGGAGGTATAATCCTCCCTGGTGATGGCCCCTCCCTTCCATTGGGTGTATGCCTCCTTTTTTAGCTTTTAGACATTCCTGGATGCTTTTGGTGAGCCATGGGGGCGTTTGAGCACTCTTGCCCCCTTTGATTCGTGTTGGGATTGTCACCCTTTGGACTTGGAGGATTGTCTCCTTAAGGAACGACCACTCTTCTTGGACTCCCAACTCCCCTCCCTTCCAAGACCTCAGAGCCTCCCCGACTAGTCTCCTTACCTCACGGTAATCCGCCCTCCTGAAGTCCAGGGCTGTTGCCTTGCTGCAGGCCTTTGACACTTCGTGCTGGATGGTGAATTCCAGTAGGCAATGATCACTATCGCCCAGGTGGTCGAGCACCCACAGTCCTCTCACCAGGTCATCGCCTGTGGCCAGGACCAGGTCCAACAAGGCATTTCCCCTGGTGGGACTGTGCACCTCTTGGGTTAGATGGAGGTCCTGTAACTCGGCTAGGAACCTACGTGAGCAGTCAGACCTGGATGACTGCTTTTCCCAACAGATGTCTGGATAGTTTAGGTCACCCATGATCACCACATCCTTTGACTTAACTGCCTCCGCAAGCTGACCTGAGAATTCCCAGTCTCTCTCTTCTCCCTGGTTAGGTGGCCTGTAGTAGACACCCACCATTAAGTCCCTTTCCCCCTGACCCCCTTGTATTTTGACCCAGAGCACTTCAGTCTGCCCCTCTTCTGAGCCAGTGTTGTTTGTTGAGGATATGTATTGCTCTTTGACATAGAGCCCCACACCCTAACCTTTCCTCCCTGTCCTATCCCTCCTGTACAGCCTATACCCTTGATGTTCACCGCCCAGTCATGTGTTGGATCCCACCAAGTTTCAGTGAGCCCCATTATGTCTGGGTTTGTGTTAGCTAGCAGGGGGGCTGGACCTGATGATCTTGAAAGGTCCCTTCCAGCCCCCAACATCTATGAATCTTTTATTAGACCACCTAAATAGTTGGGGAAAAGTTCTTTGCAAGCCTTTGGACACAAACACCCTTCATCATAGGGAGACCTGACAAAGGGTGTTTGTGCCCAAAAGCTTGTAAAGAACTTTTCTAACTATTTAGTTGGTCTAATAAAAGATATCACATCTACCCACAGAACCGTGTTGTCACTGTGGATGTAGTCTTTCTGGACTTTAAGAAGGCCTTTGACACTGTGTCTCATCCCATTCTCATTAATGCTAGTTGACTGTGGAGTGGACACCTGCACGGTTAGGATGATGCCAGCAGATCCTAAATGCTTAAAGAAAGTATACTTGAGGATCACTTAATTTAGCATGGAAATGCAACCACCTCTGTGGTAAAAAATGAAAACTATGAAAATGAAAACTCAACACAGTTCAGGAGTCTGTCACAGTCTGAGAAATCAATTTTCTTCCCTCTTAACATTAATCAACAATTTTAGGAGTCTATTTGGTTAGAAAATTAATTGGACTAAAGTTGAGTCCCTGCTCCATCTAGCCACTTGCCTATCTATTGCCTGCTCTCCCTAACCCCTGCTTCCCCCCCACACTTACATTCTTAGGCAGCTCTAGCTCTGGAAAACTCAGCAATGATGGCTCCCACCAGTCAGCCCCAGCCTCACCAGACAGAAGCAGTGGCAGCAACTTCAAGTCTGGTTGAGGTTGGGGTTAGGGTCAGAGCCAGAGCAAAAGGTAAGCAGTGGCTGGGGAAGGTGGTAGTGTGGGAAGGGGCAGGCTGTGCAGTCTCCCCCATGCTTCCACTGAGGGCGCACACTGTGAATCTGCCCCACGCTGTCTCTCCTGCACTTCCCCCATGGTGCACCCCATCCTGAACAGCACAAGCCACCCTGGCCCGACAGGTGATGAGTCAGCTCCAGCTTTGCTCCAGGCCTAGAGCTGGGGGAGTCACAGCAGCCACCTGCCACCTCAGCTGGATTTTGAAGGCAAGATTTGCTTCTCTCCTTCATGTTGACTGGAGGAAAAAACTTCATTTTGGATTCGACTAAATATGGTAACTCTGCCCCTCAATTCTCCTTTGTGACAAGGGAATAACTCACCACCCTCCCTCATAGGGGTGCCAAAAAGTCCTTAGATTCTTTAGATAGACTTTGTCCCCCACCCCATGGGCAGAAGACAGGTAGGAGGGAAGGGAAAGGTGACTGATTGTTGTTCTCAGCCTTACAGTTGCAACTTCAGAGTTTTTGTTCTCCAGCTGTTTCTAGATGTTCAAATTACTTGTCTAGGCTGTGTTCATAAACAGAGACTTACAACCTTTTCTTTAGGAAGTGGACCTAACCTTGGTGACAAATGTCTTTTTTAACTCTAGACTGGATTACAGTGGTGCTGTCTGAAGCTACTCTTACACCTGAAAAATAAGGGCTGCATCTGAAAACTGTTTTGAAATTTCATCTGATGTAGAATACATCTGTCCATCTGCTTGGTGCTGTCCCCCAAGGTATGCATTACACCTGTGTATCAGCATCTGTACTGACCCCCAATCCATTTCCAGATGCAATACAAGGTATTGATTTTGAACAATAAAGTACTTAATAGAATGGGTTTCTTGATTTCCTCCCTCATGTTCTAGCCCATTTGAGATCATCTGGGACATGTTAGCTCCCTAAAATATTCTCTGAAGGCAAAGTGTTCCCACTGAAAGGTCTAAGGCATGAGATTTACCCCTTTTTTACAATGGAGGCTGAGGTGGTGGAACTTCGGGGCATGTTATTATTTACCTCATTACTATTTACACAGGGCTTTTAGGAAAGATTGAGAGAAGTTAGAAAGCTCTCAGGAAAAGTAGTTTAATACAGACATCGGGTCAACTTGCATTGGTTTTAGAGCTCATATATCTGTAGCACTGAGAAGGTGCATCATGTAAACTTAAATAAATATATACATAAATTATTTAGCCACCTTCTAAATTACTCTAAGTTTTTACATACAACATGTGTTGTTTTGAATTTCTTGCTTGAGTTAAACTAAAACAAAGTTCATAAGAAACAGTGTCACTTTACACAAAGAATATACATGTTTCCCTGGCTATTGTTGGTCATGGAAAATAAAATAGCAACCACATACAGCAGAAAACCAAGAATTCCTTCAATCTATTTCTATTTAAAATGAAATGTTTATTTCCTTCTAGCATGGTTGGTTACCCTGCATGCTCAAATGTTCTGCCTTACTGACTTGGGATGGATGGAATTAGAAGAGTTAACTATGCATCTCTCTGTGCCTGTTAAAGCATTGATTGCTTGCATCATTTCAGTAAAACACTTACCCATGTTTTCTGTCACCATCCGTTATGTGTAGCCAGTGTAGTTCAATCACCACTAGATGGAGTGCAGATCTTAGTCCTGAGAAGAAACACAGTACCATATTACTCTTTAGTTCAATACTTCACTGTAAGTAAGAGCAAGATTTGGTCCAATACATATTGTGGCAATCTTTTAAACTGCTACCTAATACAAAACAATAGCCATCATGAGAGAAAGGTCAAAACCACAAGATTCAAATTGAATTATAATGATCATGGCTTGGCACTGTTGAATTCTGGGATCATGCTTTTTTGACCATTATAAAAATTCAGATCTGTATCTGAGTTTCTAATACAGAGAGTTTCACAACTGATAAGGAATTTGACTTAGATCCGCCCTTGAGTGACAGTGCTATTCAGAATAGCAAGGTTCAATGCAAATGCTTTATTATATACCTATAATATAACTCCTATGACCCTGTCCTGTTCCTTTAATTTGTATCAGTCAAACAGAACTTTAATGGACATTTAAGTTTCTTTTCCATTGCTTGAGACATGACGCATTGATGAAACTTCTAGGCTATGCTGATTGTTACCAGTTTGCATGTAATTGTTTCTAAGTAGTTATTACTGCCTATTTGAATAAAATCCTTTTTTTTAAAAAGGACGCCCATTCATCATATAGTTCACAGTGATGTCAAATGGACCCTGGAAAAGCTAACTATAACTTTGCACCAATCAGAATGAATAGTATGTGGCCTTTCTTAAAGAATTGTGAACCCTTAAAAAGCTGCTTTGAAACACAAAAGCATTTCCCGTCTTAAAAAAAAAGGAAAAGCCAGAGGAAGGTGTGCTGGAAATACACATCTTTAAGCCAACTGAACATGCCTGTACATGGGAGAAATACCATCTGCATGAGCATTTTAGGGACTGGTGGTTTCCCTTTGCTGCTTTTTTTCTTACACATGACTATTAAAAGTCTCCTCCTCTGAAGTTCCAATAGAAGAGTAGCTAAAAGGCTGCTATGTACAATTATAAGGTGGAAAGGAGTTCTGGTAGCTGGAAAAGCCCTCAGGAGATCATTTAGCTCCCGCAGAACCATCCTTGTCTAAACCATCCCAGACAAGTGGCTTTCTGAACTGTACTAACAAATGTCCAGTGATGGAGATTCCACAGCCTCTCAAGAAAACTTGCGCCAGAGTGCTTAGTCACCCTCATAGTAAGAAACTTCTTCAAAATATGTTTTCCACTAAATCCAAAATAGAAAATACACTGACCAGTGTAGACTGAAACAGCTCCAACATACCTGGAAACGTAAAGCTTTTTGGTTCAGATGCCTTCCTTTTCTTTTAGGCTTTTATGATGTAAGTTGATTGGCTTTAGTGGAGTTATATTAGCAAAGAAGTGATTTATTTGGCTTGTATTTCAATCTGCACTGAGTCATACTGTTAATAGCCTGTTCTTTGCTCTCTTGCAGCCCAATAAGGAGAAGAACAAAGGAAGACAATTCACACGTCAATCCCAAAAGAAAAATATAAATGTTATCACAAGAACTTAATATCACAAATTGCCTTTCATGTTTAAAATCAATATAAAATCACTGGGCCCAATTCTCATTTACATTTTTAGCTTATCTACAGAGGAACATTTACATTTAGTTACAAGCTATTATACTACTATTGTCATACCGTTATAACTGCATATGGATACTCCTATTTTCCATGTGGGAGTTCCTTTTTTCCAATGTGGGCTCTTGTTTTTTGGTTTAGCAAGTCAAGATAAATCAAACAGAGAAACGTCTGTCAGTGCAGAATAAGGGTGTCCAAAAGGGGAGTTATGCCAGTACAATTATGGTGGTACAGTCTTGCTAATACATTTCAAAGTGTAGATAAGCCCAAATGCCCTTCACATACAATTAATGTTATTTGGTGCAGTAATTTACTGTGCAGTAAATCAGCCCTGGGCAGACATCTACATGTGTAGCCTCTTGGGAGCAGATTTGCTTCTTGTGGGAGTAGCCTGCTCCAGACACCATCCTGCCCTGCTCCGCCCCCCTGCAGCAGGTAAGGGGAGCTGGAGGCTCCAGCCACATCTTCCTGGGTGCCAGGGGCACTATTTAAAAGGCAGCCCTGCACAGTGTTCCCTGACCACCTGCTTTTCAGGCCCAGAGCAGTCTGCAGTGTGCTGGCACAGACATCTACGACACTGTCTGCAGAGCCTGTGTCCAGCATGTAATGGTTGCTCCACACCCAAGTCCTGGCAGCAGTGACCTGTGTTCCAGGCTTCTGCTTGCCACCATGCTTACTGTGCTTCATTGCCACAGTGACTGCTGCCTGCCCCACATCAGCCTTGACCCTGTCCATCCTGCTGTGCCGTGTGGCCACATGGCCAGGCTCACCGCCCCACCTTTAGCCCCCCACAACCCTGGGCTGTTCCCTACCAACCCCTGGGCTGCCGCCTGGACCCTAGCAGGGATGATGATGATGACACTCACATGGATGCCACTATGGGTGCCTTCCACAAACTCCTCGGGCTTCAGCCTCACCAGCTGTGGGCCCACTGTGCCAGCCAAGACTGGTGGCTCCATGTTGCCCAGCACACCTGGGATGATAAGCAGTAGGGCTGTGTGTAGCTTTGGTCCCTGATTCGATTCAGCAGAGATTTGGCCTGATTTGGTGGCTGAATCTCTGAATCGAATCAGAGGACCCTTTAACCTCTACAAACCGATTCAGAACCCTCCGAATTGATTCAGACAGGTTCGGAGATTTGAACATAAAGGCAGCTTTAAATGTTTTTTCTACATACCTCTAGGTAGCAGGGGCTCTGAAAGCTGCAGTGCTGGGGTAGATGGAGTGTCCCACAGAAGCACAGGAGGTTCCCCAGCGCGCTCGACAGCAGACCCGGAAGTGGACCAGAAGCCCATACAGCCCACCTCCTGGTCCGCTGGGGAGCATACGGGGGGCAGTGCCCCCCCCCCCCCCAACTTGGCGACTGGTGCCTCATGGGTCTGGGGGGGCACCTGGGGTCCCCCTGTGACTGATCACCAAGCTTGGGGGGACACAGGAGGCCCAGCTTGCTCCTTGGCAGACCCGGAAGTGGACCAGAAGTACTTCTGGTCTGCTTCCGCGTTTCCTGCCAAGCACGCTGGAGAACCCCCCCAACACTCCTGTGGGACATTCCATGTGCCCCAGCTCCACAGCAATCACAACCCACGCTGCTACCTGAAGGTATATAGAAAAAAAAATTTTAAGCTGTGCCTGTATCTCAATCGCTGATTCACTGAATCAGCATCAAATCTTCAGATTCGGATACAGCTGAATCAAATCAGGGACAGTGATCCGAACCAACAAACAGATTGAACCACTGTCCCCGATTCGGGCCGAATCCGAATCCAAATTGAATAGGGTCCATTTCGCACAGCCCTAATAAGCACTGGGTGGACTCCTTCTGGATGACCTGGGTAACATTGCAGGAGCTATTCAACCAGCTGTGCCTGCACCTGGAGTGGTAGCCCACCACCATGCAGCCACCCCTCCCCATAGAGACCCAGCTAGTCACCACCCAACCAGCCCCACCACCTGGCTGCCTCCCACATCCCATGCCCCTGTGCTGCAGGCACCTCCTAAGGCTCAGCAGCACCCAGAATCACAGGCAGAGTCCCCAAAGGCCATCAAGCGAGCTACAATGGCATCCTCCCTGATGCCAGGCACCATGTCCATGCAACTGCCGCTCTGGGGCTGCCCACAGGACCATGCCCTTTATGTGGCAGCTGGATCACATCCTCGCTCTCTGGGACCCTGGGATCAGCCATGCCATGTTCTCCAGCATGGGTGACCTGCTGGAGCCTCCACCACAGCCTGGCAGCAACAAGTCTTCTCAGGGGGAAAGCCTCTTGGGGTATCAAGCACAGGGCCTGGCCTCATCCAGTATCCCTGCTCCTGGCCTCGTCCAGTATCTCAGGAGCCTGAGCCAGTGACTGCCATGCCAGCTTCAAGTGAACAACTCCACCTAAGAGAACAGCCTGGGGCTGGCACCAGCCACCGTGATGAGCTCCAGATCCTCCCTGGGGGAAGCCACTACTCAGACTGGCAGGGGCCATGTCCCTGCACCCCGGGACACCGGTGGGAGCTACACCTTGTCACCATGTGCAGGGACAGACTCAGGCCACCAGGGATGCCTGCCATACCTGTCTGGTAAGCCTCGAACAGGGAGGAAGGCCGAGGTGGGGGAGGGAGGCAGAGACCTGGCCACTCAGGCCTGCACCATCTCTCCTGCCCATCTCTGGACTGCACACCTGGAGCCAGGGGCCCCACATGAAGGCCCTCCCCTCCCTGCCCCCGCTCCCCACCCTGCCTGGCCAAGCTCCTCCATGCCCCCTGGGGTCCACCCAGGCAGGGAGGCGGGAGGCAGTGCAGAACTTAATTGAGCAGCCAATGCCCTCCAAGCTAAGCAGCCAAGGACCTGTTGCATGCAGAGAAATTCATCAATAGCAGCAGTGATGTCCTCCTTGTCCACAGGGGTCAGAGACTTGTAGCATAGGCCCTTCAAATGGCTGCATATATTACAGGGAAGCATGGACTTGCCAGGGGTGCCATCAAAGCTCAGGGTCTCATGCCAGGTTCTCAGGTTCCCCTGGGCACCCACTGTATTATAAAGAGGCCTTGAGGTGGGCATTTGAACCCATTTTAATGCCCCTTTCCACTGAAGTACAGCAGGTGCCTGCAGCACAGGGGCACAGGATGTGGAAGGCAGCCAGGTGGTGGGGCTGGCCCCAGGGGCCACCACTGGAGTCCATGAGCCTGCTGAGGCTGCCACAAGGCCACTGCTGTGGGACCCAATGGTCACAGGCAGGCTGCAGGTGGCACAGGCCCCAGAAGCATGCCAGGAGTTTAAAGACCAGCCTGGAGCAGGCAAAGCTCCATCCCAGCCACGGGGCTGGAAAAACCAATACCCTTGAGGCAAGCCTGAGCATGGCCCTGTGGTGGTGGGGCTGACTGGGAACAGATTTGCTCCCAGTCAGCATCTACATATAGTCAGCTACTGCACAGTAAGTACTGTGTGGTTAATTGCAGTTAGTAAACTAACCGCACAGTAGACTAAGTTACTGTGCAGTAACTGCCTACACTTTGTAAACAGTGATGCTTTACTGCACAGTAAATTAATCTACTGTGCAGTAAAGCAGCTCATGTAGATGCACCAACTGTAATATAAAGAGGACTTTAGGTGAGCATTTGAAGCCATCTTAATGTCCCTGCCTGCACTGTCAAGACAAAACCAGCCAGGGCAAGGGAACAAAACACATGAGCACCACCAGGATGATGATGCATCTTTGCAGGTACAACCCCCTTACCCTTGCTCCTCCTCAGCCTGGCACCAGTGGGAACATGCCCAAAGGGAAGTCCCCCTCTCACTCCAGACGGCTATATTGAGTCCATGAGTTTCTGTACCTAGGAGGTTGATGAAGTGCAGTTCATAGACTTGTCTGTAAAAAGTGGTTTGTAAATTCCCTTTGAGGATCAGGCCTGAGAGTTTGGAGACAGGTGCTGCTCTTGTCTTTGATAGATTTTCTGTGTGCTCATTCTGATGCACAGTTGTTGCTTGATGTCTCCTACGTAATTTCCATCAGGGCACTTGGTGCCCTGATGGAGATATGTATTGTATTGTTGACAGGTTTTACATGTCTTGTCATGGCATGGCTTGGATCCATTTGGTATGTTTTGGGCTGTAGGAAGTTGGCTTCTGATGATGAGGTTAGTAAGGTTCAGTGCTTGTTTGAATTTACAAACCACTTTTCACAGACGAGCCTATGAACTGCACTTTATCAACCTCCTAGGTACAGAAACTCATGGACTCAATATAGACATTGGAATTCTGATATACTACAACCTGACAGACATCTGACTCCCCAGATACCTCTCCCCTTTTACCTGCTACATCCCCCTATAACCCCCCCACCCCAGCCTGTCCCTCACCCCGATGCCTCCATTTCCATTTTCACTGGATGGCTTTCTTGTCTGCATTGCATGCCAGCCTCTGGCTTTTTTACTATTCCTTCCATCCAGGAACAGCCCACATACCAACTGCAAGTGTTTCCTCAGCCTGACGAAGGGTTGTTCAATCTAAAACCTTGCTAAAATATATTTTTCCAACTATTCAGTTGGTCTAGTAAAAGATACCAGATTGACACAAAGAATCTTGTCTGCAAGTCCTTAGACTAACACCCCTAGCACTTGTCCGCAGTCAGCTGACCGGAAGGAGGCAGGGCCCTGGGCACATCTAAGCCCCAGGGCTGGGACTGGCAGGGAGAGATCCCTTGCAGCCGGTTGGGGAGGAGCTTGGCTGCCTGAGATGCTGCTGGTGCTACTGTGCTGCTTACTAAGTTATTACCTGTTGTTATTTAAAGTGGTAGACCAAGCTAAGGCTGTAGCGGAGGAGGCGGCCTCATTGGGGA